CCTGGTCATATAATTCTATAACAACAAACTTACAAAGTCCTCAAGGACGGTATTGGAAACTAACCTTAAACACAATGACGACTAAAGCCTGTTTTGCTCTTTTGACACCAGAAGACTTTATTGTTGTGAATGGTAAAAAATACTTCTTTGAAGATACTTACTCAGATATACCACCAACAGGTTTTGTTGACTTATTTAATACTTTAAGTACGGGTGTAACATGTGCTGCAACTAGAGCAGGTTTCATTATGTTTGGATGTCCGACTGAGTTTACTATAAACGATATGAGCTATAATACAAAACTTATTTCTGGTTTTTACTACCAACAGTTTCCTATAACAGGAAAAGGTGTCATACAAGGAATGTCTATTCCATTGACATTAAGCACACCAATCTTATATATTGTTTCAAACTTAGGTTCAAAGTGTTATTCGAATGTCGACAGAAACTATTATGACCAAAAGATACTTATGTGTATAAACAATACTTTCTCTGCTGGTTTGCCTATTGTTCATTCGAATGCAGAATTTTCAACCTTAGTGAACTCAAACACTTTGGCAAGTATAACGTTGACATTACTTGACGCAAACTTTGTTCCTGTAAAACTTTTATGTCCTATGTATTTGTCAATGACGGCAGAAAGTTTCGAATTGGAAGATGCAACTGGTGAAAGTATTGTATTACAAGAACAACTTCAACAACAAATAGCTCAAGAACAACAAATGCAACAACAAAGTCAAGAATAAAAAAAAATATTTTTTTTATTTTTATAAAAATGTACAGAATAGATGTTTCAGATTTTTATGACTTCCAAGCATTCAGAAATATGTGTCCATTTCGAGACTATAACAAAGCAGTCGAGAATTTGAAACGTTTAGTCATTTATGTCGACTCTGCCCCAGAATGTTATGTTATGAAAGAATGGGATGTAGTCTTTAACAAACCTAAAGCAACAATAGTTTCAGAACAAGAATGTAGACAGAAACTTAAGAAAATAAAAGTCGTACAAGTTGGCATGAAGATGTTAGATGCTTGGGATATCTTATTGTCAAAGTTAGAAGATTTTTCAGTTCGAGGTATAAAGTTCTATACACCTTCTCCAAACTTCTATTCTATCTTCACTGGATATAAATATGAACAAGTAGAATGGAAAGAAAATATTATAGAAGCTTGGTTAGACCATGTCAAAGAAATTATATGCAATGGAAACGAAAAGGTTTATGAGTATATCTTATGTTGGTTTGCAAACATCTTACAACATCCAAGTGCTAAAAATGAAACTGCTCTCATTATAATTGGAAAACAAGGAACTGGTAAGAACACATTCTTTACAGATATTTTGTGCAAACTGTTAGAGGGCTATTCGAATCCGAATATGACAAACATAGAAAACATCTGTGGCAAGTTTAACTCCTCAATAGAGAATATGAAACTTATAGTATGTAACGAACTTCAAAGTATAGATACAACAAAAGTTTTAAACTCAGATGCTTTGAAGAGTCTTATAACAGACAAAGTTGGAGTTGTTGAAAGAAAGTATAAAGACCAAAGAGTTTGTGAAAATGTTGCAAACTTCATTATGGTTTCAAACAATGCTGTTCCGATGAAGTTAGAAAGTTCTGACAGAAGATATGTAGTTGTCAGAACGTCAGATTCTCATATGCAAGATACAGAATATTTTGACGACTTAGCAGAAACTTTGACATCTGACTTTTACAACCACTTGTTCTCATATTTCATGACATTAGATATTTCTAAGTTCAATCCAAGACAAATTCCACATACCGAAGAGAGACAAACATTGTTAGAAGCAAACAAGAGTGTATATGAACTGTTCATAGATGAAACTGACTTTGAGTGTTTAGATGAAAGGTCATTGTACGATTCGTATAAACAATATTGTCAAGAATATGGTTATATGACAGCGTCTAAACGAACATTCTTGGCAAATGTCAAAAGTCTTTTAGATGTTCAGAATGGTGTATATACAAAGAAAATTTTTTATGAGTAAATTTTAAAAAAAATATTTTTTTATCCGATAGAAAAAGATGACAAAATTCATCTCAGTAAATAAGTACATGTCAGGACTTAAAGAAGAACTAGACCCATTCACATATTTGAATGTTTACTTCTACAGTTTTGAAAAATCTACATTTGACAAAATTTGGAACATTGCACCAGTTAAGTTTGCTATTGTGACTAAAAATGGTGCGAAATTTGAAGACTTAGACATAGAAGGTTTGTTAACAGTCAAAGAAAATTTTGACAGAAGGTTCTCAAACCTTAAAGAAGGCAAAGCATACAAACTTGTTATACCTTATGAACCAAAGAAGACAGACGACTATGAATATTATGAGTCTAAAGTTGTAGAAGTTCAAGGTAAATTGGGTAAAAAGATTTTAGAGTCTAAGCCAGTGTTTACTCCTAAAGAGGAAGAGAACATTGACATTGACCCAGAAATGTTCTAAAAATAAAATTTTATTTTTACATGTCAAATTTCTTTTTCTCTGGAACTGGTTCAGGTTCTTTCTTCTCTTCTTCTACTTTCTTTTCTTTCTTTTCTTTCTTCTTCTTTTCTGGTGGAGTTATGTCAAATTTGGCGCAACTATATTTATGTAAAAGTTCTTTGTCCTTTAATAGCTCATCTATTCTGTTTTCTATTTCATCTTCAAGAACAGCGCATGTGTCTTCTTTGCATTCTAAGAACTTTTGTTGGACTTCATCTTTCCAATCGGCGTCATCTCTGTCAACAAGTCTGTCATTGACAAATTTTAAGACTGCTCTTTGTAATGTTTTATGGTTCTTGTCATATTCCCAGAAACAGAACTTTAGAACAAATTCACCTTTCTTGTTTACACTATGTAAGATTTTATGGTCGACAGATGTTTTGCTGTCAAAAAGCTTGTCTCGAATATAGATAGCGAAATCGCTAGACATTTTCTAAAAGATAAAAATTTTAATTTTTCTAAAAATATGTTAGAAAAAAAGTTTGCTGACATTGACAAGAAATTTGAGAATGTTTTAAACAAGAACAAGAGGAAGTTAGAAAATGCTCAGATAAAACCTATACATGACAAGTTCTTATTTGCTCAGAATGGTATAACAGGTCTAATTGCACCACCTGGGTCGGGTAAGACTTTCACTTATCTTAAAATGGCTGCACAACAACAAGAACTAGATGAGAAGAACCCATTTTATGAGTTAGTAGTCATTTGTAGTACTTCTGGTCAATTTGACCAAACCGTCAATTCGTTCAAAGATATTATAAAGAAGTCTAAGTTAGTATGTATAAAAGACTCTGAGTTGTTAGATTGGATAAAGAAGTACCAAAGAAGAGTTTTGAAGTATAATGCTATAAATGAGTATATAAATTCTAAGTTTAAAGACCCAAATGAGGAAATGCAGAGAATATTAGAGAAGAAACACTTCAGAAACAAACAGAAAGAGATAGAATACATTTCGAAGAAATTGCAATCTTACGATTGGAAGACTTACCCTCATAGGTGTCTTCTTATTTTAGATGATTTCGCCTCTCATCCTTTGTTAAAGAATAGAGAACAAGATATGTGTCGAATTCTTAAGAAGCTCAGACACTTTAACATCTCAGTTGTCATTTGTGTACAGACAGCAAAGAGTTTAAGTAAGGATGTTAAAAGAATACTGACTGACATTATACTTTTCCCCGGATTGTCCGAAGACGATTTCATGGAACTTATGAAAGAGTCCATGGCAGGTAAGTTTGACAGACATGAACTATGGGAGAAGTACAAAGTCATACAAGACCCTCATACTTCTTTCAGAATTCATATCTACGCGAACAAAGTTCAAATTGTAAAAAGTCAAGCTTGAAAAATGTAAGTGTTTAGTCTTAGTAAGTCTGTTGTGGTGCTGGGGCTGTCGGTTCTTCTGGCTTTGGAAGGCATTCAGGAAGAGGGACGTGAGACATTCGTTTGTGTCCTGTTGGAAGGAAGAACTTTTCCAGTTGTCGGGAAAAACTTTTCCTGTCGGAAGGAAAAATTTTTTCTGTTGGAAGGAAAAACTTTTCCTGAAGTTCGACCAAAAAGTTCTCAATTTTCGAAAATTTGAATGGTTTACGGACGGACAACTGGAAAAACTTTTCCTGTTGGAAGGAAAAATTTTTTCTGTCGGAAGGAAAATTTTTTTCTGTTGGAAGGAAAAACTTTTTCTGTCGGAAGGAAGGACTCGGAATGCCAGAAGGATTTGACGAGGCAATTTACTTTATAGAGCTACCTGAGCCATCTGAAGTCAAGCGTAAAAATAAATGGTTCATTTACTCTACTTGTTTGAAGTTGTCAAAATACTCTGTTATTTTTTCCTTTAACAATGGCAAATCTTCTTTGAAGGTAAGTATTGTACAACCTTTCATATCATAGTGTGTTTGAGGTAACGTATCTTGAACTATTTGTTTCACATCTTCATTCGGTGTCATTGAAATCGGTAAGTTTTCGCGATAGAACCAATTTCTGTCAGATTTGTAAATCTTAGCAAGGTCGTAAAAGCTTTTGTTGTTTCTTCTGACTAAATGCAACATAACCATATCTCTGTCTTCTTCATTTTCCATCTCTTCAGTATAAATCATATACTTATAGTTCTTTTCCTTTCCTTTTGGTACCGAACGTGGTATTCTTTTCTGAATGCTTTTGTCTTTTGCTTCAAGCTTGTTTTCCATCTCTTCACGTTCTTGTCTATGAATTTCGTCAAGAAGTCTGTATATATTCCAAGCATAACGAGGCGAAGCCCACATTGCAACAGCATTTACAAGAAGTCTATGTACATAATATCCTCTCAAACCATTTGGCAATTTTTCACGATTTTCATGAGTTTTAGACGACCAGGTTTTTTTCCCTACTCGCTGTTCTTCACTGTTTTCAGAAAAAAGTATGTCTCGCTGTGCTTCGCTCAAAAGTTCTTGTGTGCTTTGGTTCCTAAACCAGTCTTTAGGAAGCTTAGTATCTGGAGCAAAACATGCTGTCAAAATACTTTGCATCTGGTACATATCGTCTTTGACCGAACGAATGAGACGGAGTTGTTTGTTAAACTGAACCCACTCATATTCTTCATTTATGGCTTCATGAACGATAGCAGTTGTTGTGTTCTCTGTTGTTGACATATCTGTCTTTACATACAAAATAAAAAAATAAATAAAAATAAAACTAACTTTATTTTTTCTATCTTAAGGAAATTCATGATTTTCATGAGTTTTAGGCGACTAAGTTTTTTAACGTACTCGCTGTTCTTCACTGTTTTCATAGAGTTTTGGCGACTAAGGTTTCTTACCTACTCGCTGTTCTTCACTGTTTTCAGAAAAAAGTCGGTCTCGCTGTTCTTCACTGTTTTCATAGAGTTTTAGGCGAGTAAGATTTTTTACGTACTCGCTGTTCTTCACTGTTTTCATAGAGTTTTAGGCGAGTAAGATTTTTTACGTACTCGCTGTTCTTCACTGTTTTCATACGGAATCTCTTCTCTCGGTTTTCGAAGGGAAGCAATCTTATGCCATTTTACTCAGAATTTTGTTGCTGAATTCAGCAAAAATATATTTTAGGGTAGAAGGTTAGATCTAACCTCTTTTCTAACCTCTTTTCTACCCTCTTGAATTTTCATGATTTCATCGTATATGTTTTGTCAAGACTTCTTCGTAAATGTTTTGTCAAACATGAACGTATATGTTTTGTCAAGACTTCTTCGTAAATGTTTTGTCAAACATGAACGTATATGTTTTGTCAAGACTTCTTCGTAAATGTTTTGTCATGATTTCATCGTACATGTTTTGTCATGATTTCATCGTATATGTTTTGTCAAGACTTCTTCGTAAATGTTTTGTCAAGACTTCTTCGTAAATGTTTTGTCAAGACTTCTTCGTAAATGTTTTGTCAAGACTTCTTCGTACATGATTTGTCAAGACTTCTTCGTACATGATTTGTCAAGACTTCTTCTTCGTACATGATTTGTCAATACTTCTTCGTAAATGTTTTGTCAAGACTTCTTCGTAATGAGCGTAAATCAGACAAAAATATATTTTAGGGTAGAAGGTTAGATCTAACCTCTTTTCTAACCTCTTTTCTACCCTCTTGAATTTTCATGATTTCATCGTACATGTTTTGTCAAAACTTCTTCGTAAATGTTTTGTCAAGACTTCTTCGTAATGAGCGTAAATCAGACAAAAATATATTTTAGGGTAGAAGGTTAGATCTAACCTCTTTTCTAACCTCTTTTCTACCCTCTTGAATTTGTCAAGACTTCTTCGTAAATGTTTTGTCAAAACTTCTTCGTAAATGTTTTGTCAAGACTTCTTCGTAAATGTTTTGTCAAGACTTCTTCGTAATGAGCGTAAATCAGACAAAAATATATTTTAGGGTAGAAGGTTAGATCTAACCTCTTTTCTAACCTCTTTTCTACCCTCTTGAATTTGTCAAGACTTCATCGTATATGTTTTGTCATGATTTCTTCGTAAATGTTTTGTCAAGACTTCTTCGTATATGTTTTGTCAAGACTTCTTCGTAAATGTTTTGTCAAACATGAACGTATATGTTTTGTCAAAACTTCTTCTTCGTACATGTTTTGTCAAGACTTCTTCGTAAATGTTTTGTCAAACATGAACGTATATGTTTTGTCAAGACTTCTTCGTAATGAGCGTAAATCAGACAAAAATATATTTTAGGGTAGAAGGTTAGATCTAACCTGTTTTCTAACCTCTTTTCTACCCCAGTTATTTTATAAGCGTTTTACATGGTAAACGTTATTTTTTAAATTTTGTGAAAACTCAACGGTTTGACACATGCCCTAAAAATTATTTTACTCAGAATTTTGTTGCTGAATTCAGCAAAAATAATGTTTAGGGTAGAAGGTTAGATCTAACCTGTTTTCTAACCTCTTTTCTACCCCAGTTATTTTATAAGCGTTTTACATGGTAAACGTTATGAATTCGTGAGACTCTAAACAGTTTTGTAGCTTCTATTTCTTCGCTGAGGATATCGAATGTTTTAACGATACCGAAAGTCTCTTTATACTTCTTCTTGACGTCAGATAGAAGGAAATCGTCAGCAGTTGGATAGTTTTTGTTCAGAAATTCTAACATATCCATTTTATCTTCTGCTGGTTTTTCTGCTTCTTTCTTTAAGTCTGCATAGTCGTTTCTCATACGTTCTATCTCTTTGACGGAGTAGTTATATTTCCTCATTGCTGCTTTACATTTAGAACATTGTGGGTTCATTTTTGCGTTATATTCTGAAACCTTACCTGCTAAAACAACTAAAGCGTCAATGGTTTTCTTTAACTCAAAAGCTGCTGGTTTTATCTGTTCATTCCATACCTTACATCTTCTATCTTTATCTCTTATCTGCCATACACATTCAGCAACTAACGAAACAAAGTTGTCGTAGGTCTTAAATTCTTCAGATTCATATATGTCAGAGATGTTCTTATATAACATGTCGCAATCTTTGTCCATAACCTTATGGTTGCAATGAAATCCTAGAAACTCATAGTTTACCTTTCGTATGAACTTCTTTATTTCTACTGAGTCAGTTGCTTTGACTTCTATTTCGTCAAATTCGGGAATAGTTAGTTTTTGCTGCTGAATTTCAGGTAGTTTAGGCAAATGGTCAATAATGTCCTGCATTTCATAAAGATACTGTTCATTTGTTTCATCTTTCGCACTACAGTCTAAATTATTTGTTAACAGTTCTTGCTTTATCTTCTGGATTTTTGTTTCGAAAGTATATGAAGAAGGAATGAAGTTTTTCATCTCTACTAACATAGATGTTGGATTCATGACTAAAGAGTTTGGTGCTGTTGTTGTTTGAAGTGTTGTTGTGCCGATTGTTGACATTTTTATTTTTTTATACAAAATAAAAAAAAAATAAAAAAATAAAACTAACTTTATTTTTTATTTCGGGAAAATTCATGAAAATTCAAGAGGGTAGAAAAGAGGTTAGAAAAGAGGTTAGATCTAACCTTCTACCCTAAATTATATTTTTGGGTCCTTTACACTCATTACGAAGAAGTCTTGACAAAACATTTACGAAGAAATCATGAAAATTCAAGAGGGTAGAAAAGAGGTTAGAAAAGAGGTTAGATCTAACCTTCTACCCTAAATTATATTTTTGGGTCCTTTACACTCATTACGAAGAAGTCTTGACAAAACATTTACGAAGAAGTCATGAAAATTCAAGAGGGTAGAAAAGAGGTTAGAAAAGAGGTTAGATCTAACCTTCTACCCTAAATTATATTTTTGGGTCCTTTACACTCATTACGAAGAAGTCTTGACAAAACATTTACGAAGAAATCATGAAAATTCAAGAGGGTAGAAAAGAGGTTAGAAAAGAGGTTAGATCTAACCTTCTACCCTAAATTATATTTTTCAATACTTTTTCAGCACTTTTCCGTAGTTATATATGAAAGACAATTCGAGATAAAAGTCATAGTACAATGGAATAATATGTTGCACACCATTTGTTGTGAACCAAACTTGAAAGTCAGAGAAACTGTTACTAGGTGGTTCGTAGAATTTAGAAGCAAAGTCATAAAAGTCCTTACCAATACATAGAAAACTATTGTTGCTTGAACTGAAACTTGCATGACACATAACATTTTGAGGGTCAAACACGTTTCTATAAACCATCAAATCTGCTGGTGGAAGTATAAATTTAAATGGACCATCTGGTGGTAATGGTTCGTTCTGGTTTAGTAACCGAAGAAATTGTGCCCAAGAACGTTTGTCTACTTTCCAAAATAAAAACTCTGTATCTCTTGGAGGGTTAATTTCAATCTTTTGAAATGAAACGGTGGAGTTCATCTTGTCATATTCTAGTTTCAGATAGTATGTTCCATTTAGTAAAGAGTCGTATTTTTCTTGAAATTCCCAATAATATTTGTTCATTTGAGTTTGAAAGTCATTTAGAGTTTTTTCAAGACTTTCGTCTGAACGAATTGTAAAGATTCTCATTTCGTCAAATTTGTCTATTAGACCATCAGAACCTTTATACTGCCCATGAAAATATACTGCGAACATAAATGCGTTAGTTCTATTTGAAAACAAAACTCTTCTAAATCCTATTGCCTTTGCATCTGAAGGACTTTGAAGCCAACGAATTGGATAGTCAAACCTGTATATTCGGGATGAAATTTCTTCATCTGAAATAGTCCTACCAGCATTTGTAAAGATATAGTCTAACGGTTTTGTATCTGCTACTTTTGTTCTTTGTTTTTCAACCTGAAGCATTTAATATATGTAAAAATATATTGTTTTAAAATTGTATGCCATATAGCTTCTTGAATTTGTTAAGAAGTATTTGAACGTGTTTTCCATCTGTATCTCTAGTGTTTACATAAGCATAGCCTTCCTTAGTAAAATATACTTGTAATTTCCTATAGTTTACGCCGGTATAAAAGTAGAAAGAGTCTTGTTCTTCGCTATAGTAGTAAAACTCAAACGTATGCTTGCCATAGTCTGTAATTTCAATTGTTTCATCTTCTAGTTCGTCGACAAATTCGAATACAATATCTCCAAATTTGCCTTTGTTCTTATTGTTTTCAGAACGAGTGACCCAACGTAAGTTTTCAAGTCTATTGTCGTTCTTATATGGTTTATATGGTCTACAAAAGGTAAATTGTTAGGATTCAGTATAAAATGAGTTGCAATGACAACATGTTTAAGATAGCGTTTCCCACCCATCTTCATAATAGCATATCCGTCATTTCGCTCCCATTCGCTTAAAACTCTTTTTGTCTTTTTGTTTCTGACTTCAAATGACTCACAACAGTGAATTTCATATTTCTCATCTAACAAACAAGTTTCCCAACGGTCTGCTCCAACAAACTCAGCGTACATTTCAAATAAAATAAAAAAATATTTTTTTAAAAATATATTGTTTTAAAATGGTATGCCATTTCATATTTCTCATCTAACAAACAAGTTTCCCAACGGTCTTCTCCAACAAACTCAGCGTACATTTCAAATAAAATAAAAAAATATTTTTTTCTTTACTTTACATAACCACCTGCTGCCATAAGTCTTTGACGCCAACCCATACCAGCTAATGAAGGTTGACTTGGTTTAGTTTGGAAACTAAACTTTGGTTTTGGTTTATCTTCAGTTTTTGGTTTTTCTTC